AGAACAGGATGACCGTGATCAGCTTTGATGTGGTGCCCAGAGACAGAGTGGGCTCTGTGGGGATGGCACAGCACTGACCTGTGAGCGCCCCACGGCACTGTGTGCTGGAGAGCTGCACGAAGGGAATTCAGAGGGGAGCATCAGTTTACCCACAATGGCTCCTTCACGCCCAAAAATCTATTTTTTTTCAAACATAAGGATTCAGGTTTGCTACTTCAGCATATTATATTTTTGAGTTTCTACATATCTCAACACTAAGGCAAATTATCATGGATTACTATCATTTACTGAATTCCCCTAATGGATCATTTTCAGCTAGACTGTGAATGGAAACAACTGCAAGTACTTAAGTTGGGCCTGTATCCTCGCTTGTCCAGGGCACCACTGCCTCCCTGCAGATCTCCTCACACAGCTCTCGGGTTGGTACCGGGAGGGCCGCTCCCAGGGGGAAGTGCGCTTGCTGGCCTTGGCCTCCAGCTTGTTATGGGCCAGAAGAGAGCCCTGAGGGAACAAGGGGACCTGCCCTGATTAGCCCTCAGTTGCCCCAACTCTGGTGGAACCATGGTTGACAATTTCTGAACTCGGTACTCTGTCATGCATGCACTTCAAAGCCTCCTGAGTGAACAGGAAAGCACACTAAATGACAGATGGAATGTTTTGGAGATTCTTTGTGTTTGTGATAGAAATATTCTCTCTCATACATAACAAGAAAAAAATAACATGCTAGTGGGAACTGAAAGCAATGCTGGTCCACCGAGATGCAGCTGGGCTACACCTGGTGTCACAGTCACATCGGTGGGCGGACAGACTCCACACCTGTCACAACGAGCACACTCCCCCTGCCACTGCTGGGTCCACTGCTAAGAGTGGGCTATCACAGGAGCTGCAGTTCACTGGCCACTGGCGCTAGGAAGCAAGGACACCTTTGGGCTCAGTTAACCCATCTGGGAAGTAACCGGTACTCAAGAGTGTCCACCCACCAGACAGGTCCCATCTCACTGGACAGCAGGTATGAACAATAGGGAATTATCGACGCGGACATTTCAAAAGTGTGTCATCCTTGAGGAAGTGCTGAAATTCCCCTAATGTTTTTTTTTTTTCCCTAAATGTTTAATAACAAAATATTCATGCTGAATTTTCAAGATAAATAAGTATCACCTGTCATTTTGATGAGTCACTGTTATTTCAACTTGAGAGTTAAATTAAAATCAAAACCAGTCACAAAAGTATATGCTTCCAGCCAAGTACACTGTCTAATGGCAAACAGCTAAGGCCCTGGAATTACTGCAAAATGGAAAATTACATTCATAAAGTATTATTACCTTCATTATAGTAATGAAATACTCATTCTGGGCCATCTTTCTTACAGCAGAGAAACACAAGAAAGGACCCAGGAGTCAGCACTTCAACAGTAAGGCACACGATGCTCAACCTTGGGGAAAAGACTACATCGTACCGACGGATGTGCTGACTGCAGTCCCAGGGCCTTCCCAGGGAGCCACATCCCCAGCCCTTCCTTGTACCACCACACAGGCCTGAAAACACAAGCTTAACTGATATAAAACCATCTCCCAAGTTAAGGAATATGCACAAAGCAAAGAAGCACACGATGGTGATGAGACATTACTGAGCGACAGTCAGGAGTAACAAGGGATTCAGCGCCTGTCTTATCCGCGTAGAAAGTCCTGTGCTACCATACGATGCTGAGTAGTAACAGACGGCCAGGACACAGCCTATGTCTTTGTGGGTTCACATTTTAGAAAAAACGTGAGAACAAGCAATTATCAGAACATATGCAAGCTATTATTCATTTGTTTCTTAGCCTATTTAGGAAACTTTTAGGAATGTAAGCATTCTATCTGATGTGTAGTTTTTGGTTTTTTTTTTTAAACCACTGTCAAAATAAGTGCACTGCACTTGGTCCTCCCATTCTCCCCAGGCCTCCCAGCTTATGAAAGCCATCTGTAAACATTTCTGAGCTCTGACCCACAGCCTGCCCTTTCTTGCAGAACACTCAGGACTGGCAGACAAGGCTTTAAATGAGATTTTATAACTTAGTCACTTAGGAAAAGTTATCCAGACTCAGGTTAAAGATTTTGCTGAAGACAGTAATCTTTTAAACAACAACAAGCCCAGAAGTAGTAGAATAAAGAAAAAACCTTGGAGGAAAAACATTCATGTACTTTTAACAGAATGCTAGCATTAAACCTACATTTTCTTTCCTTAACAAATCTTTTATGTATTCAGTACAGGGTTTAGCTACATAGCTCAGCCTCGTCCTCCCATCCCAGCCTCCCCAGCACTGGGATTACAGGCATGCGCCACCAAGCTCAGTTTCAATGGCCAGCACAGTGCCCCTGGGGTTCAAAGGCAGGCATAGCATGCAGCACTAAGGATAGAACCCGCGTCCTTGCACTTGCCAGGCAGGCGCTTAGACCACTGAGCTATCTCCCCAGCCAAACTTTCATTTTCTTCAGGGTCTGTGTTTAACAAAAATCCAAAAAGTAAGAAGTAGGTTAAAAATTGTCATATCTTACAATTCTCTCTCTGGAAAGGCATTTACATTGTAAATTCAGAGTACTAATGTAGTAAAATTGCTTAATTCTACTGTCAAAATCAGAACGGCTCAACAAATTTACAAATACATGTTTAAAATAAGTAATATAGGTGTGGTGTGCACACCAGTAATCCCAGCACTTGGGAGGCTGAGGCAGGAGGATCACTGTGAGTTTGAGGCAGACTGGGCTAACCAGTGAGTTCAAGACTAGCCTGAACTACACAGTAAGGCCCTGTTTCAAAAAACCAAAAAATATAAAATAAAGTAAGTAAAAAAGATGACTGATTTTCCCACTAATTTATACA